TATAAATATATATTTATATTAAAATATAAATAAAATATATATACACACATACACTTTTATATCATGTTGTCCTATTTAACATATTTGAATAGATACACCTTAAAGTTGAGAAAACCCACTATGTTTTTGTTATGTGTAACTAATAATAATTTCTGCAACAAAATGTTTCTTACGTTTCCAGGTGTTTCTTTGGGGCAGGATTATACCCACAACTCTACAGGCAGTTTCTGTTGCTTAAGGTGCCCATACACCTGCCGATTATCGTACGATAATTGCGGATGATACCGTGATTGTACGACGATCGGCAGGTGTATGGAAGGCGTGCAACCGATTCTGCTGTAGGGTCGCACATCTTTTGTCTTCCGAGAACAATAGAAATCACCAGCACTCCGTAAATGAAATTAAAAAAGTCCATTTATTTGGACTAAACGCTGCCCTGATGAAAGGACCCTGCGTGGTCCCGAAACGTTGGATTATGCGATATGTGTGACGTTTAGTCCAAATAAATTGACTTTTTTAAATTTCATTTACGGAGTGCTTTCTATTGATCATTGACTGTTGTACACGGCGCCATCCATGATTATCACTGCAAGCACCACTATTTTCACTTGGACCGGAAGCGCTGTAAGAAGTGCAGGGGGACCTACTGTTTTATGGTTTTGTCTTCCGAGCACGCTCGAAAACCCGCCGACAATCGTACGATTTTCGGCGGGTTAGTGGCGTGCTCGGAAGACAAATGCTGAACGGTGCCGGTGTGCACAAGCGCACCGTGCCTGCTCAGCGTTGGAATCATCGGAAGCCCTCCCCTCGGCAGGGAGGGCTTGCGATGATCGCAAGTACGATATGCCTGTCCAAGATGGGCAGATTCTACTAAATTTTAATGACCTTACAACAAAAGTCGTGCGATGGTTGTAAGGTGTATGGCCACCTTTAAAATAGATGGCAATGTGCAGATAAGGGACAGACTGAAGGACAGATTTTTAAGTGTATTGGCATACAATGCATCACCCAAGCCTTGAGATCTTTAACCCACTGTTCAGACAGACCATGTCTAAATCTAGTTTACAACTGATAATCAAGCCTGCCAGCACAGTACACATAGTTTAAATTAAAGGTAAATATACCCCCATATCTCCCTCCTTAACATTACATAGAAGGGAAAAGCGGACTAAGATTTTTAGATGAAAAATAAATTAGTATTATTTTACAGGATCCATATAGCGCCAACAGTTTGCGCCGCAGCGCTTTAAAAAATGAAGGGAGACAGTAGTAACAATTTCAGTACAATAGTGTAAGGAGGGGCTTACAATCTAGCAGGCGGGGCAAGTTATACAAAATCTAATAATTGTGTAGATTGAGTTAGTGGAAGAAGTAAAAGGACAAATATGATGAGGTGGGGTGGGCTTCCCTGAAGAGATGAGTTTTCAAGAATCGCCTAAAAGGAGGACAGAGTAGGAGATAAGCAGACAGATGGTATTAGGTAGTTCCAGAGGAGAGAGGCCACTCTGGAGAAGTCCTGGAGGCAAGCACTGGAGGAGGTGACGAAAGAGCTGGAAAGCAGGAGGTTTTGAGAGGAGCGGAGAGGACAGTTTGGGTGATATTTTGAGATAAGGTTGGTGATGTAGCTGTGGGCAGAGTTGTAGATGACTTTGTATGTAGTTGTTAGTATTTTGAATTGTATCCGTTGGGCAAGCCAGTGGCGAGATTGGCACAGAGGGGCGGCAGACACAGAAGAGTTGGTAAGGTGGATAGACCTGGCAGCAGCATTCATGATAGACTAAAGGGAGAATAACCTGTTTAGTGGTAGGTCAACAAGGAGAGTTACACTAGTTGAGGCAAGTGTTTGTTAAAAAGGGCCGAATTTTAGAAATGTATCCAGAACTTTTCGTGCGTTACGTGAGTGGGAACATTTTAATTTCAACCACCACATTTCCGTTTTAAAAGGTATAAGAAAAGGATTGATAACATAACATTGATTGATACCACCCTGTATAATAACAACAACAACAACAACTAGAAAATTACACAACCATGAGTCACATGCTACTTGACATACATCAATAGACTAGACCTCTTGTTGTGCTTAAATAATGAGGTAGAAGGCTATAAAGACCATCTCCAAGCAAGTACCTTGATGTTCCAGTAGCTACAGTTGCAAATTATTAAGAAGTTTAAAGGAGAACTATGAGGTGAGTGAAAATAACTCATCCTAATAGTTTGAGCCGACGTGTGACAATGAAACTGTCACAGGTCGGCTCAATAGATGGGGAAGTGAGTGAACACATACCGTTGCTCGCTCACTTCTCGTTCATGTCCCTGCAGAGAGCAGTGACTGTCAGTTACGGCTACCCCCAGGGATTTCCCCCCTCCCCGCGCCAATCCTCCAACACTGACTGGAGGAACGGACGGGGGAGAGCCAGCTGTCATTCACGCAGTTGGTTGGAGCTCAACAGCATTGTCGGGATCCGTCCCGGCTTCGGCGGTCTCAGTATATGTATACAGTATACTGCACTTTTGGTCAAGGGAGGACACTATTATATGTCCTCCCGTGACCCTTAAGAGAACTATGGGGAAAAACACTTACCACATAGTTCTCTTTAAGGTCCATGGGAGTGTCGCCAACCTCCCTGAATGTATCCACAAGAGGAAAATAAATTCCAGATTAAACAGAAGAATAGTGCAAATGATAGACAAAGTGCCACGGAAAACTTCCAAAGAGATCCAAGCTGAACTCTGAGGTCAAGGTACATCAGTGTCTGACTGAACCATATGTCACTTTCTGCGCAACAATGGGTTCAAAGGAAGACCCACGAGGAACTCAATGTTGAAAGAAACGCAAAAAACTGCTAGACTGGAATTTGCTAAAATGCATAGTAACAAGCCAGAATGCTTGTCGGAGATTGTCCATAGGGCAGATGAGAAAGAACAGAACCTTTTCACATCAGTTCTATTTTTACAGACAAAAAATGTAGCATTCAAACAAAAGGACACCGTACCAACTATGAAATGTGGAGGAGGCTTGGTAATGTTTTGGAGCTAATTTTCTGCATCTACCACGGGGTGCCTTGAATCTGTACAGGGCACATTGAATTCTCAACCTTAATGATGGTCTCATGGAGAGATACATAAATCACTTGTTGCAGTGAATGCCTCTAAGGGTTGCACAGCAAAATATAAGGTTAAAGTCTGTCTCCATAAAAACCAAAACCAAAACCAAAAAGGTGGGACTACCCCAGCACTGCAAGGGTTAACTGCCCATTAATGTCTAGAGGATCTGGGTAAAGCAATTTTATTTACCTGATTGGCCCTGGCTTGTGGACTGTCCTGAATGACTGTACGGACAAACCACTCTCCTACTACTGTTTTGGCCATCGTTCTGACAGGAATGGCTGACGCGGTAACAGGAGAGGACAGCAGAAAGTGAGCATGGTAGTACTGGTTGCTAGATCATCACTCTAACGTTACCACTTTGGAAGCTGCAGTCAGAGTAAGAAAGGGATATCACCATGACAGGAACAGCCAAAGCAGTGGGAACATTATGCCATATTTGCATTGCCAAACTAGTAAATTTGCCTTGTTTAAAAAGTTTGCATTGCAGACAAGCTTACTTGTCCTTCAATTATTGCATGTGGAGAATGAGGCAATATTCTCACTGGCCTCCTGCGTTAAACACAAGAGAAGGTATCTGAAAAGTGTAAACAACTTTTATTCGCCCCAGATCACTTTTTTTCTGTGTTTAGATGTTCCTGGGGTTAACTGTGTTTAGATATGTTCTTAGTTTGTGTAAATGCAGCTAGACTTGAATGAGCCTAGACACTGCTAAACGTCCAGTTGTGCATTCAGCCAACTGGTCATTCAGGTCTATTTAGAAATGTCTTCCAAACACACCCAGCATCATGTATTTTAATTGCTGTGTGAATAAAACCTTAAGGTCACTATACCTACAGTAAAAGTGGTTGGTGAGCAAACCTCTAGGCTCCTATAGGACGTTAAAGACTAGATGGATAAAGTATAATCCTCTTGCACACCACACTGGGATTGACCATGTGGTTAAAAAGGTGCTGTGCACATCATCAATAAGATATTCTGTAAGCACACCAACAAGCTTGTTTCAAAGTGCAAAGCTCTTCACATAAAGAATCAACATTTTGGGATTGAAAAAGGGTGCCTTTCTCAGGCATGTGAAATGATGAAGGGTCCCTGCACAGTTCCGAAACAAGGCTTTTTTAATGTGATCAAGCTTTAGTTTTTTGGGGGGGTTTTCTTAGGAAAAAGACAATTAAGCTAACTATATTTTTGAATTGTGGGAGGAAACGCACATAACTATACAAATGGTGTTTCAGGTCGGATTTCATACCAGGAACCAGAGCTGCAAGGTAAGAAAGCTTGAAGACCTAGCCAAAAATGGGTAATTATCAGGGCCCAGTAACAAAGTAAGATGGTGCATTGCATTTTATGTAAAATTTAATTTACAAAAGTTCTAGATCCTAAGGAGACTACTAAAAATGCTAACAATAGCTTCTGAAGAATAAGGTATAAGCTTTATGGTAAATGCTCTATAGAACATCAATGCTATTCTAGCTTGCCTTTGTGGCCTAGTTCTAAAATCTGGCAGGCTGTCAACTGCTGCTGTACATTACTGAAGAACTTAAAGGTTTAGATGACTGTGTAAAAGTAACTTTGTCTCTGGATCTCCTTATCAATTGTAAACATTTAATTGTGAAGAGCACATCTCTGTTTGAAACAGTTCTTTCTGAGCACTTGCAGAAGCGTAATTCCTTCTCAACCCTTTTCCGGCATATATAGTCTCTACATTATATATATATGTATGTATGTATGTATGTATGTATGTATGTATGTATGTATGTATGTATGTATGTATGTAT